GACCCCAGGCCATCCCAGCCCAGCCCGGGTGAGTAGCTGGCCGGCTTCTCCCCTGCAGAGTTGGGACGCGAGGCTCCCCGTCTCCGCCCCCTGCTGGCCCACACGGGCACTGCACCCAGCCCTCCCGCCCACGTGGCGGGGTCGCCAGAAGCGCTTTGACAAAGAAAGGGCGCCCCTCTTCTTTTGTATTGACTTTTTTTGAGACAGGGTCTCGCTATGTAGTTAAGGGTAGCCTTGAGCTCACTGTGTGTCCCAGTCTGGCCTCGAACTGATGGAGATCCTTCTGCCTCAGCCTCCTGAGTGCTGAGCTGATAGGTGAGTCCCGCTCTTCCTGTTTCTCTCTCCCACAGTGGGGTACGCAGCCTGGGAGAGGGGGGAGCCTCCCCGCCTCCTGTCAGCGTCAAGTCGGAGCGCCTGTCACCCGCCCCGGGGGGCCAGGGCGATGCCCCCAAGTCCTTCCCGTTCCCGCTGCTCCTGCGGCCGGGGCCACTGCGCCGCCTGCCCCCTGCCGACGGGTGGCCGCGGTAGGGTGCGGGGGCCGGGGGACCCCGTGTTGAGGACACCCACGGTGAGGCTGGGGGGATGCCTGTCTGCGTGGGGCTCCTCTCTCCTCCGTCTGCAATCCACCAATAAAGCACACGGGGTCCAGGCCCTCCCAGCGCTCCCTCTGTCGCCTTGTGTTACCTTGGGGTCTCTGCGCCCTCTGCTCAAGACAGGACAAGCCCAGGGCGGCATGCTGGGCCTCCAGGGGGCAGGTGACGTGTGAGACCCAGGCTCAAAAAGCCAAAAATAAATAAAAAATAATGGACAGCCTGGGGCAGCCCCTGCGAGACCCCTGCACCTGGCCCAGAGGTTTGGGTGAGCAGGGTGCGGTGGAAATATCCCGGCTCAGGGGACCGGGCCAGCCCAGGTAGGAGTGGCAGCGTGGAGACAGCGGGAGGCGGGGGTGAGGTGGACCCTGGGCCCAGGCCAGGATGGAGGGCTCTCACGGTGCACGACGGGCACAGGCTGCTGCCACTGGCCCTACTGGGGACACTTTCACCGTGAGCCCCGGCCACCCGATGCCCTACTTCAGTATGACAACACAGCATCTCAGAGAACCGGGCTGAGGTTGCAAGTGCCCTGGGGGAAACTGAGGCACGGCTGGAGCTCCTTCCTGGCCTCTGGCTCTGTCACACAGAGGACAAGAAGCAGGGTGGTCCTTGGAGTCAGCGCCCCCAGGATGAGTGCACAGGGTGAACCTTCACAATGCAGGCTTTGGTGGCACATGCCTGTCCTCCCAGCGCTTGGAGGCTGAGGCAGGAGGATCGTTGCAAATTCCAGGCCAGCATGGGCCACAGAGTAAGACCCTGTCTCAAAAAAACACAAATAAAAAAAGCTGGGCATGGTGGCACACGCCTGTAGTCCCAGCACTCAGGAGGCTGAGGCAGGAGGGGCCAGGGATTTAGCTCAGTGGTTCTGCCGCCTGCCTCAAAAGTACAAGGACCCAAGTTCGATCTCCAGTACCAAAAACAAACAAAAAATAATTCCAGCACTCTGAGAGGCTGAGGCAGGAGGATTGCTGGAGCCTAGGAGATCTTGACCAGCCTGAGAAAAACAGGGAGACTCTGACTCAAAAAACACATAAACAGGGCTGGGGATTTAGCTCAGTGGTGCCACTGCCTGCCTCGCAAGCGCAAGATCCCGAGTTTGATCCCCAATACCCCGCAAAATAATTAATTAATTAAAACACACAGTTGAACAGCTTTCCAAGCCTGGGGCCATGGGATTGTTTACACTTTCTCCACTTGCCACAAGGTCATGCCTGAGGTCGTGCTTTGAATTCAGTGACCTCCAGCCAAAAGTTAAAAATATCTTATGGTGACATATTATACATCCACATGGTAAAAATAGAAATAAAAACCAGGCATGAGGGCACACGCCTGTAACCCCAGCACGTGAGAGGCTGAGGGAGGAGGAAAGTGGAAAGAGGGGTGTTGTGTGCAGTGGCCCCACCAAGCCATTCCAGGACACCCACAGACAAGGAATCAGCAGCCCTGTATGCCAGGACCAATGTCACCGCTAAAGACCTGTACTACCATTGAGAGGCGGAGCCTAGCCCGGAAGTGAGGTCATTGGGCGTGGCCCTGGAGGGTATATTAGGACTCAGCCAGGCTGGTTTCTCCTTTTTTTCCTCCTCTGAGTGGGTTGCGCAGCTTCCCTGCTACCTGCTGAGGCCATGAGGTTCTGCAGCATCACAGAATCCAGCTACCAGGGACTGACACCTCGGAATCATGAGCCAGAATTGAGCCCTCCACTTCCTAAATTCATGATTTTGTCAGTGACCAAGAGCCAATTAACAGGACTAAGGGCATAGGATCCCCAGTGTAGGATAGAGACTGTGGTTGTCCAATGGAGAACAGAAACCAAGGGCTGTTCCGTGTGGACCTGGACACTGGTAGGCCCAGTGTAGACCAGGGACACTGGACAGTCCGTGTACCCCTTTTTACGAGAGGGGCCCATTCCCAAGATCCACAGTGGGTGCTGGAAACCCTGGAGTGGACGCCAGCCTATCGAGGCTGTTTGCCCTGGACATGAGACCTAGGATGAAGTTTAATTCATAAATCGGCACAGGAAGATGAACACAATGATAAAACACCTGTAGCAATGTGTTGTACTAAAACTTATGTAAAGCCCAGGGTGGTGGAATATATCTGCGTCCCAGCTAGTCGGGAGGCCGAGGCAGGAGGATGACAAGTTTGAGGCCAGCTCAGGCAACTTAATGAGACTTTTTCAAAGTAAAATAAGCTCACATAGGGCCGGGGATTTAGCACAGCGGTTGCGGCGCCCGCCTTACAAGCGCAAGGTCGCAAGTTCGATCCCTGGTACCAAAAAATAAATAAATAAAAATAAAATAAGCTCACATTCCCTATTCCTGTTGGGAAGACCAGAGTACAGAGAAGACGAACCTCTGATTCGGTGTCCTAAGCCATATGTGGTGGCGAATGCCTGTAATCCCAGTATATTAATCGCCTTACCATGGCTGGGAGAGGAGGTTTCCATGGGTTCAGTCCAAGGCTGGCCACAAAGGCGTCCCAGGCACTGTCCAGACTGCAGCTGGGATCCGAGCTCAATCCAGCGCGTCAGAACTACAACTTCCGGTATGCCGTGCGAGCGAGCGCCTTGCGATTGGACAGTTCTAAGCCAGTTTCTCGGTTGCAAGAGGCGTTCATCAGACAAGAGTCGGGCTCTGATTGGGCAGTTTTGGAGAGGGCGGTGCCTGTAGCCTAGGCCGGGCACCGCGTTTCCCTACCGAGACATGGTGAGCGAGTGTCCCGCGGCGCTCGAGGTTCCGCTGCGGGATCCAGGGAGACACCGAGGGCACCGGGCCCCTTCGTGGGGATTGAAGGCTCTGAGGAGCGCAGGGTCGCGCCGAGGGCCGTGCTGCCTTCTTAGGGGGCGCGGCTGTCCCCAGGGGTCGTTCTGGGGGGTCCTCCGGAAACCGAAAGCCCTTGAGGCTTCTGGGCCCCTTTTTATTTATTTATATCTTTTGAGGGGGTTCGAGGCAGGACCCCGCTGTGTGGCCCAGGCCGGCCAGGAACTCGCGACGACCTCCTGCCTCCTCCGGAGACTGGGGTGACAGGTGTGCGCCGCCACGCGCGGCTCTGCCGGGTCCTCGCGAGCCTCTGGGGGGCGCGT